GCTCTTCCAGCATGCTTTACCACTCTGCTGCTAAGAACAGAATGGGGTAAAAGGAAAGGCCACCAATCCTGTACCTACTGCAATGTAGCAAGGTAGCTGCATTGCAGTGGAAGGACTGCATGTAGGCATCGAGGTCCCGGGCACTCCCCCAGGCAAGGTTTCCCTCACCCCCATGCCCAGCTGCCTGCCAGCTCCCAGCCTGTCTCCCCATGGACAGGCAAGGCAAAAGGGCATTCCTAGAGCTCTGAGTTTATGTGGTGGTATCCCATGTCAGACAGCTGATGAAGACTAAGCCTCTTCCTAGCAAGACAAATAATAAATTAGATGCTTAAGAACCTGGATACTAAATGAGACAGATCACTAGCAAAGCTGTTGGTAAGAGACATGCATCAAAAATAGTGGCATGGAGGGGCAGTACATCAAGAGGTTCTCATGCAATAAAATGGAAAGTAAAAACCACAGCCAGGAGGTAGAAAACCCTGACGAGGCTACAGCCAAATAAACTTAAATAGCTTTGGGAATAAATTGGTGGTTTAATCCGGATCGGGAACAGGTGCTGTGAATGTAATTCAGTAAATGGTCGAAAGCCTGCCAGAAGGGAGAGAAATGTGTTGCTTTTGAGATAATTTCCCAGAAGCTTCATAAAAGCAAATTGATTACTGGAGTTTAATAATTAAAACAGGGCCAGATATATAGCAATCAAATGAGTTTTTAATTACATCTCAAGGAGAAATAAAATCCAATTTGTGCACTTTGTATCAGAGAAGTCCTACTGAAATGCTTTGGTAGCTGGAAAAAAATAAAATAAAAGCTAATTTCCATTGGAATTATGGTAGTCAGTTTAATTAAAAGACTAGATCAGAATGAAAAAAGTACTAAAGTGAAAGGATACTAAATACAGAAGCAGTGGTTGAAACATCAAATCAATGTCTGAATAAAGACACTTTATAGACCAAGTGCATAATCTGCACTGTCAAGTATCTCTAATCTAAATTAATGTGGAACAAAATAAAGTTTCTTAAAATTACACTATATATTTTGTACATATTCCATTGAATTAACTGCTGGTGCTATGGTAAAAATTAATATCAAAGACATGTTTTATTCTTTCTTAAATACTCCTTTTAATTCATTTCATCAAAGTTAATTTTAGTAGTTAACCATCCTTGTTATTTACCTGGTAGCCTCTGTTGCACCTGGGTTATTAGACTCTAATATGCACCTAGGTCTATATTGCAAAGAAATATATGTGAATTTCCTTTTGGATTTAAAATATGTTTACAGCTCAAAAGATAACAGTGATTACCATAGAACTGTGGGGGTGCTTCCTGCATCCACTCCCAATCTGCTTGGGCTTTTGGTCTCTGCTGTACTTAATGCAAAGCTATTGATCTCACACCTCAAGCACTGGCAATCCTTCTGGCACTGCACGTGACAGGGCTGTCTCCTACCATAAGAGCATGTCATATGCCGAGGCCTGGAGGGACAGGCACAGCAGCAGGTCATGGCCAGACATCTGCATTTGCTCCCTGGCACTAGGATTGAAAACATTATGGTCTTGTGGTCAGTCTTGGCAAACAAAAAAAAGGTACAGAAAGGACACAGACATAGCAGAAAGCTGCACAGCCACACTGAGATACAGTCTGCTATCCCAGTGAGCTCTGTCTCCTCTATATTGCCTGTAGCTGGGAGAGGTTCCTGGTAAAGCATTTATGACAGCCTGTACTGCATTTTGTGTTTCCAGATCCTGGGGCTGACAGAGTGTGAACAAGATCTTTGTGCTTAGAGACATCTGAAATGCACTGATTTTTAAACACTGATTTAAACACTGGTGGTGTGTGTGTATATATATATATATATGTATATATAGTGAGTTAGTTTTAAATCTAAAGTATATATTGGAAAAATACTTCACAAAACCTGTTTGGAGATTTAAGAAATACCATCTAGCTTAACTGACAGTGGATGGATACTGGAATTGCACAGAAAGGCTCTAATAAATTGCTCTCAGGGGTTGAATATGTAATGTGCTGTCCCTAGACACTGAGCTGGCAGTGGTAATGCAGGTGCTAATGGTAACAGCAGTGAGATCCTCATGTATTTTCAGCTGTTTAGAATGTATTACTGCCCCTTTGTTTTGGGCTCGGCCAAACCAGGTTTAAAGAATACACAACGGTTTCAAATAAAGAGAGAAAAATGGGAGAGTGCTGAGGCATGGTGATGGGAGTGTTTCCCAGGAAACTACAGGCCTATCAGCCTGACCTCAGTGTCTGGCAAAGTCATGGAGCAGATCATCCTAAATGCCATCACACAGAACCTGCAGGATGGACAAGGGATCAGACCCAGCCAGCATGGTTTTAGGAAGGGCAGGTCCTGTCTGACCAACCTGATCTCCTTTTGTGATCAGGTGACAGCCTGGTGGATGAGGGGAAGGCTGTGGATGTAGTGTACCCAGGTACTTCAGCAAAGCCTTTGACACCATCTCCCATAGCACACTCCTGATAAAGCTGCAGCCCACGGCTTGGACAGGGGCACTCTCTGCTGGGTTAAGAGATGGCCCAAAGAGTGGTGGTGAAGGGTGCCACATCCAGTTGGTGGCCACTCACTAGTGGTGTTCCGCAGAGGTCAGTGTTGGGCCCACTTCTCTTTAATATCTTTGCTGATGATTTGGATTGAGGGGATTGAGTGCACCATCAGCAAGTTGTCAGATGACACAAAGTTGAGGGGGTGTGTCGATCTGCTGGAAGGCAGGAGGGCTCTGGAGAGGGACCTGGATAGGCTGGAGAGATGGGCTGATTCCAACGGGATGAGGTTTAACAAGGCCAAGTGCTGGTCCTGCACTTTGGCCATAACAATTCCATGCAGCGCTCCAGGCTGGGGACAGAGTGGCTGGAGAGCAGCCAGGCAGAAAG